GGGGCCTCCCCCCCCTTAGGTCGACTCGGCCTCAAATGAGTACTCGGTGCGACGTGTCAAAAACACGTTGTCTGTCGTCTCTGCCCTGGGGAGCGCAGTCGGACGCCGCCACGCGAACCCTCGTGACTGCGCCGAGGCGCTTCTGGATGGCGAGCGCACCAGCGGTGTGACCACCGTCTACCTGAGCGGGGACCCCGCGCGGCCGCTGCAGGTCTACTGTGACATGGAGACCGACGGGGGCGGATGGATCGTGCGTACCGACACGCACGCGCACACACACACACACACACGCTGTAACATACACAAACACACACACCATACATACACACCACACACACACACACCACACACCATACATACACACCACATACACACACCACACACACACCACACACACACGCTGTAACACACACACACCACACCACACACCATACACACATATACCACACACCAAGACACACACCACACACACACACACGCTGTAACATACACACACACGCTGTAACACACACACCACACACACCACACACACGCACACCACACATACACCACACACACACACCACACACACCACACACACACGCTGTAACACACACACACCACACACACACACACAACACACACCACACACACACACCACACACACACACACCACACACACACACCACACACACCACACACACCACACACACCCCACACACACACACACACACCACACACACACACACCACACACACACACACAACACACACCACACACACACACCACACACACCACACACACCACACACACCCCCCACACACACACACACACCACACACACACACACCACACACACACACACAACACACACCACACACACACACCACACACACACACACCACACACACACACCACACACACACCACACACACCACACACACCACACACACCACACACACCCCACACACACACACCACACACACACACACCACACACACACACACCACACACACACCACACACACACACCACACGCGCTGTAACACACACACGCTGTGTGTGCGTGCCGTGGCGAGCAGGTCCTGCAGAGGAGACAGAACGGGAAGACCAACTTCATGCGCGGTTGGAAGGAGTACGAGAAGGGATTCGGGGAACTCACGGACGAGTTCTGGTTCGGTACGCGGGGGGGGGTGGAGTGGGGGGTGGAGTGGGGGGTGGAGTGGGGGGTGGAGTGAGGGGTGGAGTGGAGGGGGGGTGCATGGGGTGGAGTGGGGGGTGGGGGGGGTGGAGTGGGGGGTGGAGTGGGGGGTGGAGTGGGGGGTGGAGTGGGGGGTGGAGTGGAGGGTGGAGTGGGGGGTGGAGTGGAGGTGGAGTGGGGGGTGGAGTGGGGGGTGGAGTGGGGGTGGAGTGGGGGGTGGAGTGGGGGGTGGAGTGGGGGGTGGGGGGGGGTGGAGTGGGGGTGGAGTGGGGGGTGGAATGGGGGTGGAGTGGGGGGTGGAGTGGGGGTGGGGGGGGGTGGAGTGGGGGTGGAGTGGGGGTGGGGGGGTGGAGTGGGGGTGGAGTGGGGGTGGAGTGGGGGTGGAGTGGGGGGGGGTGGAGTGGGGGTGGAGTGGGGGTGGAGTGGGGGTGGAGTGGGGGTGGAGTGGGGTGGGGGGGGGTGGAGTGGGGGTGGAGTGGGGGGTGGAGTGGAGGGTGGAGTGGGGGGTGGAGTGGGGGGTGGAGTGGGGGGTGGGGGGGAGTGGAGTGGGGGTGGAGTGGGGGGTGGAGTGGGGGTGGAGTGGGGGGTGGAGTGGGGGGTGGGGGGGGTGGAGTGGAGGTGGAGTGGGGGGTGTAGTGGGGGGTGGAGTGGGTGGTGGAGTGGGGGATGGAGTGGGGGGTGTAGTGGGGGGTGGAGTGGAGGTGGAGTGGGGGGTGGAGTGGGTGGTGGAGTGGGGGGTGGAGTGGGGGGTGGAGTGGTGGAGCAAGGAGTGTAACGAGGGGGAGGGGGGGATGGACAGAACGTGTGGATGGGGAGAGGGGAGTGACGTGTGGACTGGGTGGTGAGTGACCCTCTCCCTCCTCCTCCTCCTCCCCCCTCCTCCTCCTCCCCCGTGCGTGCCCCCAGGGCTGCGCGACGTGCACGCGCTGACGTCCCAGGGGCGCTACGAGCTGCGTGTGGACCTGCGCAGCGGCGCCGAGTCCGTGTTCGCCACCTACGACAGCTTCTCGGTGGGCGAGCCGGGAGGCCTCTACAAGATCCGCGTGGGGCAGTACGCCGGCACCGCCGGTGAGCAGGCCCCGCGGCCGCTGTGCACTACAGCGCCCCCCCCCCCTCCCGCCGCGTCTGTGCCCCCCTGACCCACGTGTCTGTGCCCTGACCCACGTGTCTGTGCCCCCCTGACCCACGTGTCTGTGCCCTGACCCACGTGTCTGTGCCCCCCTGACCCACGTGTCTGTGCCCTGACCCACGTGTCTGTGCCCTGACCCCCGTGTCTGTGCCCTGACCCCCGTGTCTGTGCCCCCCTGACCCACGTGTCTGTGCCCTGACCCCCGTGACTGTGCCCTGACCCACGTGTCTGTGCCCCCCTGACCCACGTGTCTGTGCCCTGACCCACGTGTCTGTGCCCTGACCCACGTGTCTGTGCCCCCCTGACCCACGTGTCTGTGCCCTGACCCCCGTGTCTGTGCCCCCCTGACCCACGTGTCTGTGCCCTGACCCCCGTGACTGCCCCCCTGACCCACGTGTCTGTGCCCTGACCCCCGTGTCTGTGCCCCCCTGACCCACGTGTCTGTGCCCTGACCCCCGTGTCTGTGCCCCCCTGACCCCCGTGTCTGTGCCCTGACCCCCGTGTCTGTGCCCCCCTGACCCACGTGTCTGTGCCCTGACCCCCGTGACTGTGCCCTGACCCACGTGTCTGTGCCCCCCTGATCCACGTGTCTGTGCCCTGACCCACGTGTCTGTGCCCTGACCCACGTGTCTGTGCCCTGACCCACGTGTCTGTGACCCCCCCTGACCCACGTGTCTGTGCCCTGACCCCCGTGTCTGTGCCCTGACCCCCGTGTCTGTGCCCCCCTGATCCACGTGTCTGTGCCCTGACCCACGTGTCTGTGCCCTGACCCACGTGTCTGTGCCCTGACCCACGTGTCTGTGACCCCCCCTGACCCACGTGTCTGTGCCCTGACCCACGTGTCTGTGCCCCCTGACCCACGTGTCTGTGCCCTGACCCACGTGTCTGTGCCCCCCCTGACCCACGTGTCTGTGCCCTGACCCACGTGTCTGTGCCCCCCTGACCCACGTGTCTGTGCCCTGACCCACGTGTCTGTGCCTTGACCCCCGTGTCTGTGCCCTGACCCACGTGTCTGTGCCCCCCCCTCCCCCCCACGTGTCTGTGCCCTGACCCACGTGTCTGTGCCCTGACCCACGTGTCTGTGCCCTGACCCACGTGTCTGTGCCCTGACCCACGTGTCTGTGCCCCCCTGACCCACGTGTCTGTGCCCTGACCCCCGTGTCTGTGCCCTGACCCCCGTGACTGTGCCCTGACCCACGTGTCTGTGCCCCCTGACCCACGTGTCTGTGCCCTGACCCCCGTGTCTGTGCCCTGACCCCCGTGTCTGTGCCCTGACCCACGTGTCTGTGCCCTGACCCACGTGTCTGTGACCCCCCCTGACCCACGTGTCTGTGCCCTGACCCACGTGTCTGTGCCCCCCTGACCCACGTGTCTGTGCCCTGACCCACGTGTCTGTGCCCTGACCCCCGTGTCTGTGCCCTGACCCACGTGTCTGTGCCCTGACCCACGTGTCTGTGACCCCCCCTGACCCACGTGTCTGTGCCCTGACCCACGTGTCTGTGCCCCCCTGACCCACGTGTCTGTGCCCTGACCCACGTGTCTGTGCCCCCCTCACCCACGTGTCTGTGCCCTGACCCACGTGTCTGTGCCCTGACCCACGTGTCTGTGCCCTGACCCACGTGTCTGTGCCCTGACCCACGTGTCTGTGCCCCCCTGACCCACGTGTCTGTGCCCTGACCCACGTGTCTGTGCCCCCCTGACCCACGTGTCTGTGCCCTGACCCACGTGTCTGTGACCCCCCCTGACCCCCGTGTCTGTGCCCCCTGACCCACGTGTCTGTGCCCTGACCCACGTGTCTGTGCCCTGACCCCCGTGTCTGTGCCCTGACCCACGTGTCTGTGCCCCCCTGACCCCCGTGTCTGTGCCCTGACCCACGTGTCTGTGCCCTGACCCCCGTGTCTGTGCCCCCCTGACCCACGTGTCTGTGCTCTGACCCACGTGTCTGTGCTCTGACCCCCGTGTCTGTGCTCTGACCCCCGTGTCTGTGCCCTGACCCCCGTGTCTGTGCCCTGACCCCCGTGTCTGTGCCCTGACCCCCGTGTCTGTGCCCTGACCCACGTGACTGTGCCCTGACCCCCGTGTCTGTGCTCTGACCCCCGTGTCTGTGCCCTGACCCCCGTGTCTGTGCCCTGACCCACGTGACTGTGCCCTGACCCACGTGACTGTGCTCTGACCCATGTGTCTGTGCTCTGACCCACGTGTCTGTGCCTTCCTGACCCACGTGTGTGTGCCCTGACCCTCGTGTCTGTGCCCTGACCCATGTGTCTGTGCCCTGACCCACGTGACTGTGCCCTGACCCCCGTGTCTGTGCCCCCCTGACCCACGTGTCTGTGCCCTGACCCACGTGTCTGTGCCCTGACCCACGTGTCTGTGCCCTGACCCACGTGACTGTGCCCTGACCCCCGTGTCTGTGCCCCCCTGACCCACGTGTCTGTGCCCTGACCCACGTGTCTGTGCCCTGACCCACGTGTTTGTGCCCTGACCCACGTGTCTGTGCCCTGACCCACGTGTCTGTGCCCTGACCCCCGTGTCTGTGCCCTGACCCACGTGTCTGTGCCCCCCCCTCCCCCCCACGTGTCTGTGCCCTGACCCACGTGTCTGTGCCCTGACCCACGTGACTGTGCCCTGACCCACGTGTCCCCCCCCGGCCAGGCGACTCCATGACGTACCACCAGGGCCGCCCCTTCTCTACGCACGACCGCGACAACGACATCGCCATCACCAACTGCGCCGTCTCCTACAAGGGCGCCTGGTGGTACAAGAATTGCCACCGCGCCAACCTCAACGGCCGCTACGGTGACAACAGTCACAGCCAGGTGCCCGCCACACCACGCCACCACGAGCTCACCATACCGCCACCACGACCAGCACAACTACACCGCCACCACCACCATCACCACCACCACAACCGCCACCACCGCCACCACGAGCTCACCATACCGTCACTACCACCACAACCACCACTACCACCACAACCGCCACTATCACCACAACCGCCACCACCACAACCGCCACCACCACAACCGCCACCACACCGCCACTACGACCGCCGCCACCGACACCACCACCACCACCTCCAACCACACCGCCACCACCACTGCCATCACACCAATACTACCGCCGCCACAGCACCACCATAAGGCCACCACCACCACACTGCCACCACCACATCACCACCGCACCTCCAGCAAGACAAAAACGAAGATCCCCCGTGTAGCCTCAACAGACTGTAGGGGCAAGTGCTGTTAGCGAGCACCTATGAAGGCCGGCACGGCACACGAGGGAGTGGGTGGCCAGCACCACGCCCGGCCGCCTTTGTCTCCCCGGTGGCGATGTTTACACACCGCACCGGGTACAGTACCCGTTTAAGGCTGAGTCGACCTAGGGGAGGTCCAGGACCGGTTCAGATAAGCGTCACTGGCGATGGCCACGAGCGGGAATTGAACTCAGGTCCCAATGTCACCACCATCATCACCACCACCCCCAACACCATCAACACACCTCACCACCACACCCCAACACCATCACAACACCCTGATACCACACCCCAATGTCATCACCATCACCATCACCACACCCCAACACCATCAATACACCCTGACACCACACCCCAACACCATCAACACACCTCACCACCACACCCCAACACCATCAACACCCCTCACCACCACGCTCCAACACCATCAACACACCTCACCACCACACCCCAACACCACCAACACACCCTGACACCACACCACAATGTCACCACCATCACCACCCCAACACCATCACAACACACCTCACCGCCACGCCATAACCACACCGCCACCACACCACGAACGCCGCAGGTTGACTCAGCCTCAAATGAGTACCTGGTGCGGTGTGGAGTAAACATCGCCACTGGGGAGACAAAGGCGGCCGGGCGCGGTGTTGGCCACCCACCCCCTCGTGTGCCGTGCCGGCCTTCATAGGTGCTGCTCGCTAACAGCACTTGCCCCGACAGTCTGTTAAGGCTACACGGGGGATCTTTGCCTTTGTCTGTATGGTGGGGAGCAGTGGTGCAGCGGTTAGCGCTACGAACCCGGCGACTCGAGTTCGATTCCCGCTCACGGCCAACTCCAGTGGCGATTATATAAATCGGTTCAGGGGGCTCGGCTAGGTCGACTCAGCCGCAAATGAGTACCTGGTGCGGTGTGTAAACATCGCGACGAGGGAGACAAAGGCGGCCGGGCGTGGTGCTGGCCACCCAGCCCCTCGTGTGCAGTGCCGGCCTTCATAGGTGCTCGCTAATGGCACCTGGCCCAACAGTCTGTTACAGGCTACACGGGGGATCTTTGTCTTTGTATGGCAGCAGGCAGATACGGTCACTCACGTGTGTATTTGTGTGTGTGCACGTATGTGTGTGCGTGCGTGTGTGCGCGTGTGTGTGCGCGTGTGTGTGCGTGTGTGCGTGTGTACGTGTGTGCGCGCGTGTGTGTGTGCACGCATGTGCGCGTGTATGTGCGTGCGTGTATGTGCGTGCGTGTGTGTGCGTGTGTGTGCGTGCGTGTATGTGTGTGTGTGTGCGTGCGTGTGTGTGTGTGCGTGCGTGTGTGTGCGTGCGTGTGTGTGTGTACGTGTGTGTGCGTGTGTGTGTGCGTGCGTGTGTGTATACGTGTGTGCTTGTGTGTGCGTGTGTGTGTGCGTGCGTGTGTGCGCGCGTGCGCGTGTGTGTGTGTATACGTGTGTGCGTGTGTGTGCGTGTGTGTTTATGCGTGTGTACGTGCGTGTGTGCGTGTATACGTGTGTGTGTGCGCGTGTGTGTGTGTGTATACGTGTGTACGTGTGTGCGTGCGTGTGTATGTATACGTGTGTGTGTGTGTGCGTGTGTGTGCGTGCGTGTGTGTGTATACGTGTGTGTGTGTGCGTGTGTGTGTATACGTCTGTACGTGTGTGTGCGTACGTGTGTGTGTGCGTGTGTGTGTGTGCGTGTCTCAGGGTGTGAACTGGTACCACTGGAAGGGCCATGAGCATTCCGTGGACTTTGCCGAGATGAAGGTTCGGCCTCACGACTTCAAACTCTCGCTCAACCGAGTGCAGCGCTCCGGGGGGGCTCAGTGAGCCCCCCGGGACCCCATCGCCCCCCCCCCCCACCCACCACCACCCCCTCCCAGTACGAGAGATTCACATGCCCTTTAAGTAATAATGTCAATAATGATATTGATGGTGATGATGATGGTGATGATGGTGGTACGGGCAGGGAGGGGGTGAGGAGCTATTAGCACCACTGGCGGTGGTGTTCCACATCGCGAGGGGGTGTGCAGAGGGGGGGGGGGGGGTGGAGGGGGTGGGGGGGGCACGGTGCCCCCCGCGGTGACACCCAACTTTTCGAAAGAGCCAGGGTTCATCGTTAGTTTCTGCCCAAGGGGGTTGAGATCACTTGGTGGGTGCAATGTGTATTTTAAAAAATGTACCCACAGCCCCTTCCATCATCTCGGCGACAGAGCAAATCAGATGGAGTCCGTCACGGTTTGGGGTTTTCAGCGGAATAAATAAATAATAAACAATAAACGCTCGAAGCCTGCGCAAAATGATTCTAGATGTGAAGATTTCGTGACTGCAAGGATTCATATTCTTAGTTTTTTCGGTAAAGTCACGTAGGTAAAAAAATGAAATTTTAATTTTAATTTCATTTTTTAATTTCATAAAATTAAATTTCATTTTTTTATTTCATAACAAAATAAAATTAAAATTTTTATTAAAATTTTAATTTCATTTTTTACCTACGTGACTTTACCGAAAAACTAAGAGTACAAAATTATTCTGTTCGAACGGCGCTCCTCCGGAGATATTGCACCCGGCGTCGTGAGCTGTCGACAAAAAGAAGAAATCTGACCGCTCGCGTGAATCAATTTTTGCTCGAAAGATATCAGAAAATATCTTTCGATCACCAAATGCTAAATACCGTCAGCTCTTGCAAAATCTTTTATGTTGTTATATCAGGGCTCTGCGACGCATTTGACCACGGCTTAGCATCGGCAAGGCTCGACTTTTGCCACTCACTATCTTTTACAATTTTATTTCACCATGTGTAAGGCCACGTGGCTTTTTTTCAACAGAAGTGAGCCGGCCACCAATGGCATCTCAACAAAGTGGCTTGTTCCCTCATCGCGTGGAAATTTACAGCAGCTGCCAGACACTCTAAACGCGTGACGGCGATTCTAAACGTTGAGGGTAAAACCCACGAACCTCCTGCGCACCAGGCGAGGTGATTAACATCTCGCCAACCAGTGCGACCTAACCCAACGAGAAACTAAATCCCGAACCGTGACCGTGACTTCAATGGAACGGGAGGCGGCAGCGTTGGGGCTGGAGGGTTATTGGAGGGTCAGGCTCGCTCCGCACCTCGCACCGCGTCGCTGACGCTCAAAGGCGCGTCCCATCTTCCCGCCTGGGTCTCGCAGCGTCTGCCGTTCGTCCGATCGTCTTTTTACGCAAACGCTCCGCTACTCGTTCAGTGCCCCCGCCCGCCCGCCATAGTTCAGCAAGCACCCCCCGCCACCCCCCCCATGCAAGCCCTTTGGCGTTTGCGTCAAAGGAAGATCAATCCCCTAGGAATTCTGCACGGGGGCACCCGGAGGTTCAGGGTTGGGTGCATTGTTGAGGGCGATGGGAAGCGTGGGTAATGGGATGGGAGCGGGTCTGTGGTGTAGTAATAGGTTTTTACCCTTTCAACTGGTTGATTGGTGTAAATGCTTACCCCGAGCTCTCATACTCTGATGGTGCATTGTCTTTGAGTTGTGCGCCTTTTGGCGTCATCTGGTCCAACCCATGTGAGACTAGGCTCTAAGAAAAGCTGTCTCGGGTGTGGACCAATCAATTTCAAGGACAGTGTATACATTATCAGAGTTATGTTTTTTGTTTGCATTCCGACTGCAGATTTTGTGGTCAATGCAAACATGACTCCTTGTAAAAAAAGGTGTCAGTTTATTTGCCAGATAAAAAGGGTTAAAAAACAATTATCATATATATTTTCTTTTTTACTGGCAAATGAGGTTCCAATGGTGTAAATGCTTACCCCGAACTCTCATACTCTGATGGAGCATTGTCTTTGAGTTGTGCGCCTTTTGGCGTCGTCTGGTCCAACACCAATGGAGACTAGGCTCTAAGAAAAGCTGTCTCGGGTGTGGACCAATCAACTTCAAGGACAGTGCATATCACCATCAGAGTTGTTTCTCCTTCTTGGTTCTTTCGGTAAAGTCACGTGACTTTACCGAAAGAACAGAAAGGACCAAGAAGATGAATCCCTGCAGTCACGAAAGCTTTAGATCGAAATTTAGAGTTGTTTCTTTTTGTTTGCATTTTGACTGCTTGCGTTGTGGTTATTGCAAACATGACGCCTTGTATAAAGGTGTCAGTTTTTGTACCAGTTGAAAGGGTAAAAACCTATTACTATATTTTGCCACTGGTAAAGGAGACGTCTCATAGTGTGTCTGTTGTGTTTCTCCGCTCGAGGTGTCTCCTACCTCCCTCCCTCCCTCCTCCTCACTCCCTCCACCTCCACCACCTCCTCCTCCTCTCCGAGCTGGACTCACTCACCCTTCTCCCATCATCGCCCCGTTCAGAGGCTGCGGTCCGTCCACCACCACCACCACCACCGTTGGTTATGTACCCACTCTCCCTCCCCCTCCCCACCTTGTATCCATCCGTATTGCGGCTCATTGCTAATCTTATACTTGTAAGGGTGCGTTCACGTTTTTTTGCGTTCTCTCGTCGTTAGTTAGTGAGGGTAGTTCTCTTCGTTACCGGGTTGTTGTAGCGTGTGACGTAGAGTAGTCGGTAAGCATGGGGGGGGGGGAGGGGAGGGGGTGGGGGGAGGGGCTTCGATTGTGTCGTCACGTGTCACGTGGCACGTGACCGTCACGTGGCACGCGGCGCGTGACCGTCACGTGGCACGCGGCGCGTGACCGTCGGGTTCTCGCCGAGGGCTCGGGACGCTTGAGCGCATGTCGGGTTCACCTGGTTCACCGGGTTCACCTGGTTCACCGGGTTCACCTGGTTCACCCGGTTCACCTGGTTCACCAGGTTCGCCTGGTTCACCTGGTTCGCCTGGTTCACCTGGTTCGCCTGGTTCATCTGGTTCACCCGGTTCGCCTGGTTCACCTGGTTCACCGGGTTCACCCGGTTCGCCTGGTTCACCTGGTTCATCTGGTTCACCTGGTTCACCGGGTTCACCTGGTTCGCCTGGTTCGCCTGGTTCACCTGGTTCACCGGGTTCGCCCGGTTCGCCCGGTTCACCTGGTTCACCTGGTTCGCCTGGTTCGCCCGGTTCACCCGGTTCGCCTGGTTCACCTGGTTCGCCTGGTTCGCCCGGTTCACCCGGTTCACCCGGTTCGCCCGGTTCACCCGGTTCACCCGGTTCGCCTGGTTCGCCCGGTTCACCAGGTTCGCCTGGTTCGCCTGGTTCACCGGGTTCACCCGGTTCACCGGGTTCGCCTGGTTCACCTGGTTCACCGGGTTCGCCTGGTTCACCGGGTTCGCCTGGTTCACCTGGTTCACCTGGTTCACCAGGTTCACCTGGTTCACCTGGTTCACCTGGTTCACCGGGTTCGCCTGGTTCACCGGGTTCGCCTGGTTCACCGGGTTCGCCTGGTTCACCGGGTTCACCTGGTTCACCTGGTTCACCGGGTTCACCTGGTTCGCCTGGTTCGCCTGGTTCACCTGGTTCACCTGGTTCGCCCGGTTCACCTGGTTCACCTGGTTCGCCTGGTTCGCCTGCTTCACCTGGTTCACCTGGTTCACCGGCTTCACCTGGTTCGCCTGGTTCGCCTGGTTCGCCTGGTTCACCCGGTTCGCCTGGTTCACCCGGTTCGCCTGGTTCGCCTGGTTCACCGGGTTCACCTGGTTCGCCAGGTTCACCGGGTTCACCCGGTTCACCTGGTTCGCCTGGTTCGCCTGGTTCACCTGGTTCACCCGGTTCGCCTGGTTCACCTGGTTCACCCGGTTCGCCTGGTTCGCCTGGTTCACCCGGTTCGCCTGGTTCGCCTGGTTCACCCGGTTCACCTGATTCGCCTGGTTCACCCGGTTCACCCGGTTCGCCTGGTTCACCTGGTTCACCAGGTTCACCAGGTTCACCAGGTTCACCAGGTTCACCAGGTTCACCAGGTTCACCTGGTTCGCCGGGATTGCTGGGACGTCCACGCAAGCCGAGCCGATTTCATTGAACTGGGCAACGTTGCTCAAGTCTGAGACGCAGTCCCGGCAAACGTGGAAAGCGTTGCAGGGTCAACCACGTGCCCCCTCCCCGCCCCCCTCCCCCCGCCCGGGAAATTTGGACAAACGTTGCCACGTTTACCGAGATGGGGGCGTGTGGGGGGGGGTGGGGGGCAGTCTCAGGTGCAAGTGTGAGACTAAACTAAGATGTTTTAGTTGTTACCAGGCAGGTGCACACTGAGCTACGTAGCTCTCTTCCTGGTTCTTTCGATAAAGTCACGTAGAAGGGAAATAATAAAATAATAAAAAACACACAAAAAAATAATTATTTTCAGAGGTGGGACAAAGTCATTGTTATGCAAGTCCAAGTCGAGTCTGAAGTCATCAAATTCATGACTCGAGTCTGACTCGAGTCCAAGTCACATGACTCGAGTCCACACCTCAGAGGTGGGACAAAGTCATTGTTATGCAAGTCCAAGTCGAGTCTGAAGTCATCAAATTCATGACTCGAGTCTGACTCGAGTCCAAGTCACATGACTCGAGTCCACACCTCAGAGGTGGGACAAAGTCCTTGTTATGCAAGTCCAAGTCGAGTCTGAAGTCATCAAATTCATGACTCGAGTCTGACTCGAGTCCAAGTCACATGACTCGAGTCCACACCTCAGAGGTGGGACAAAGTCATTGTTATGCAAGTCCAAGTTGAGTCTGAAGTCATCAAATGCATGACTCGAGTCTGACTCGAGTCCAAGTCACATGACTCGAGTCCACACCTCTGATTATTATATCATAACTTTTTTATAATAAATATTTTATAATGTTTTATTTTTATTATTTTATTGTTTCCCTTCTACGCGACTTTACCGAAAGAACCAAGAAGATGAATGCCCGCAGTCACGAAAGAAGCTTTAAATCGAAATCTACGTAGCTCTCTTTCAGGAAGGGACCTCCGTGTCCCACTTGGCATCGTCACCGCGTGAAGATTCATTGCAGACAAACACTCTCAGCTGGCAGCGCGGAGGGGCGGGGGGCCAGCCAACAATCGACGCGAGCCAGAACAAACCGAGTGCAGCGATGGCACGGCCACAATCCTCCGCAGTAGCCTAGCAAACAACAACAACACTACGAGACCTCCTTTTTGTTTGCATTTTGACTGCTTGTGTTGTGGTTATTGCAAACATGATGCCTTGTATAAAGGTGTCAGTTTTTGTACCAGTTGAAAGCGTAAAAACCTACTACTATATTTTGCCACTGGTAAAGGAGATGTCTCATAGTGTAAATGCTTCACCCCGAGCTCTCAATACTCTGATAGTGCACTGTCTTTGAGTTGTACGCCTTTTGGCGTCATCTGGTCCAACACCATGTGAGACTAGGCTCTAAGGAAAGCTGTCTCGGGTGTGGACCAAACAACTTCAAGGACAGTGCATATCATCATTATCATCATCAGAGTTGTTTCTTTTTGTTTGCATTTTGACTGCTTGTGTCGTGGTTATTGCAAACATGATGCCTTGTATAAACGTATCAGTTTTTCTACCAGTTGAAAGGGTAAACACCTATTATTACTACAACAACAACAACAAAAACCGCTTCACTCTCAACGGCAGCTTGCTGCAGTGTCCCATTCCCCGGTTCGCTGGGAGCCAGGCGGCAGAGGTCGCAACCGGGTACCCGATACCCGTACCCTACCCGATACCCGTACCCTACCCGATACCCGGGTACCCGTTTGCGACCCTGGTGCGGCCGGGTACGGGTATGCCGTGAGTCACTGGTGAGTCACCGTTTGTCACTCATTTCCCAACGTCTTGTCTCTTCTCACAATTCAAGTTTCCTAGAATCAACCCACCCGCGCCTGCAACATGGCTTCATCCCAGAGGTCGCAATCGGGTACTCGTACCCTACCCGATACCTGGCCGGGTACGGGTAGCCGGGTATCGGGTGCGGGTACGGGTACCCGATTGCGACTCTGGTGCGGCCGGGTACGGGTAAGGAATCAAAACCCGTTTGCGACCTCTGCCAGGCGGGCAACGCGATGCGAGCGAGCGAGCGAGCGGGTTCCGCGAGAGACGCAGCTACTGGTGGCACGTGGTGGCACGTGGTGGGCACATGGTGGGCACGTGGTGGCACGTGGTGGCACGTGGTGGCAGGTGGTGGCACGTGGTGGCACGTGGTGGCCCCTCGGTGGGGACGCGAGGCCTTCGGGGGCCGGGACGTTCACACCAGACAGCACGGCAACGGCGGGATGCCGACTCTATTTTTGTTATATCTACATCGAGCAGAGCTGGGGGGAAATCAAAGAAACTAAAGAGGGTTTTTTTGTAGTATTTTTACACGTGAAATGGGGGGCAGGGGTGGGGGGGGCTGCCGGTTTCTGGAACGTAAGAATTGCGGTCCTTGCGTAGAAAACACGGAGACGCCATCTCCAGCACGCCGTGTTCATGTTGTTAATGAGGGGAGCCAAAGAAGTAATCGCCACCAAGTGTACAAACGTCACCGCATGGCCTGCCGTGACGCTTCAAGCTGCCTCTGCTGGACTAGAGCCCCATTGGCTAGAGCCAGAGACACGCCCACTAGACACAGAGACACGCCCACTAGACACAGAGACACGCCCACTAGAGCCAGGGAGACGCCCACTAGAGCCAGAGACACGCCCACTAGACACAGAGACACGCCCACTAGACACAGAGACACGCCCACTAGACACAGAGACACGCCCACTAGAGCCAGGGAGACGCCCACTAGAGCCAGAGACACGCCCACTAGACACAGAGACACGCCCACTAGAGCCAGGGAGACGCCCACTAGAGCCAGAGACACGCCCACTAGACACAGAGACACGCCCACTAGACACAGAGACACGCCCACTAGAGCCAGGGAGACGCCTACTAGACACAGAGACACGCCCACTAAACACAGAGACACGCCCACTAGAGCCAGGGAGACGCCCACTAGAGCCAGAGACACGCCCACTAGACACAGAGACACGCCCACTAGAGCCAGGGAGACGCCCACTAGAGCCAGAGACACGCCCACTAGACACAGAGACACGCCCACTAGAGCCAGGGAGACGCCCACTAGAGCCAGGGAGACGCCCACTAGAGCCAGGGAGACGCCCACTAGAGCCAGGGAGACGCCCACTAGAGCCAGGGAGACGCCCACTAGAGCCAGGGAGACGCCCACTAGAGCCAGGGAGACGCCCACTAGAGCCAGGGACACGCCCACTAGACAGCTGTAATCCAAAACGTCTCACTGCTTTGCACGCTCCGTGTGCACGTTCACCTCAACCCCCAGCTGCTCTGCTGCTGGTCACGTGCGTCCACAATGCTGCAGCTGCAGCTGCAGCAGCTGCTGCTGCTGTTGCTGCTGCAGCTGCTGCTGCTGCTGCTGTTTGCTGCTGCTGCTGCTGTTTGCTGCTGCTGTTGCTGCTGCAGCTGCTGTTTGCTGCTGCTGCTGCTTGCAGCTGCTGCTGCTGTTTGCTGCTGCTGCTTGCAGCTGCTGCTGCTGTTTGCTGCTGCTGCTGCTTGCAGCTGCTGCTGCAGCTGCTGTTTGCTGCTGCTGCTTGCAGCTGCTGCTGCTGTTTGCTGCTGCTGCTGCTTGCAGCTGCTGCTGCTGCTGCTGCAGCTGCTGTTTGCTGCTGCTGCTTGCAGCTGCTGCTGCTTGCAGCTGCTGCTGTTGCTGCTGCAGCTGCTGTTTGCTGCTGCTGCTGTTTGCTGCTGCTGCTGCTGTTTGCAGCTGCTGCTGCTGTTTGCTGATGCTGCTTGCAGCTGCTGCTGTTTGCTGCTGCTGCTGTTGCTGCTGCAGCTGCTGTTTGCTGCTGCTGCTGTTTGCTGCTGCTGCTGCTGTTTGCTGCTGCTGCTGCTGTTTGCTGCTGCTGCTTGCAGCTGCTGCTGCTGTTTGCTGCTGCTGCTTGCAGCTGCTGCTGCTGCTGTTTGCTGCAGCTGCTGCAGCTGCTTCGGCTGTTGCTGCTCCTGCAGCTGCTGCTGCTGTTTGCTGCTGCTGCTGTTTGCTGCTGATGCTGCTGCTTGCTGCTGATGCTGCTGCTTGCTGCTGATGCTGCTGCTGCAGCTGGGACCGGTGCCATAGCTGGCGCCCAGCGGTAGCGGTGCCGGAGGGTGAAACTGCGGGGGCACTACCCCCCCCACCCACCCACCCCCACCGTCCTCTCTCTCTCTCTTTTGGATTTTGTTATCGAATGCAAATATTTAAAACAATGTCATAATAAACGTCCATTGGTATTTTTCACGCTTGCAACGTTGCATTTTTCTCCCCCCCCCCCCATCCTTCGTCTTCTTCTCATCCGTGCCGCGCGGTTTCGGAGCGCACGGCGCGGGCAGCCTGGAGGCCACGCGCGGGTCACCACGAGGGGGCCCGGCAGCGGCCACCCACTCACTCACTCACCCAGCCACCCACTCACCCACTCACCCAGCCACCCACTCACCCACTCACCCAGCCACCCACTCACCCAGCCACCCACTCACTCACTCAGCCACTCACCCACTCACTCACTCAGCCACTCACCCACTCACTCACTCACCCAGCCACCCACTCACTCACTCAGCCACCCATTCTGCCAGCCACCCACTCACCCAGCCACCCACTCACCCATTCTACCAGCCACCCACCCACTCAGCCACCCACTCATTCACTCACCCAGCCACCCACTCACTCACCCACCCACTCACCCACCCAGCCACTCACCCACCCACTCACTCACTCACCCAGCCACCCACTCACTCACCCACCCACTCACCCACCCAGCCACTCACTCACTCACCCATTCTCCCAGCCACCCACTCACTCACTCACCCACCCACCCACTCACTCACCCACTCACTCACTCACCCAGCCACTCACTCACCCAGCCACCCACTTACTCACCCAGCCACCCACTCACCCACCCAGCCACTCACTCACCCAGCCACCCACTCACCCACCCACTCACCCACCCAGCCACCCACTCACTCACTCACCCAGGCACTCACTCACCCACCAGGGCCGTATCATTAACTCTCTCGCCTGGAGGTCGTGGGTTCGATCTCGACCCTGAGGCCTGCTGCTCTATATTTAGAGTTTGCGGTGTCTCTCTGCCCGTGGTCGCGTGGGTTTTTCTCCTGTTCCTCCGTTTTTTTTCCCCTTCACATTTAGAATCAACGACATCACAACACGATAATTGTTTTTTTACCCTTCTATTTGGCAACAAAACTGACACCTTTTTTTACAAGGAGTCGTGTTTGCATAGACCACAATACCTGCAGTCATAATGCAAACAAAAAACATAACTCTGATAATGTATGCACTGTCCTTGAAGTTGATTGGTCCACACCCGAGACAACTTTCCTTAGAGCCTCGTCTCATATGGGTTGGACCAGATGGCGCCTTTTTGCATACATTATCAGAGTTATGTTTTTTGTTTGCATTATGACTGCAGGTATTGTGGTCTATGCAAACATGACTCCTTGTATAAAAAGGTGTCAGTTTTGTTGCCAGATAGAAGGGTAGAAAACCAATTATCATATTTTTTACTGCCAAATGAGGTTCCAATGGTGTAAAAGACATCACAACACGTTCAGAGTATTTGGCAGCTGCTGTACATTTCCACAAGACAAGCCACTTTGTGGAGCTATCATTTGTGATTGCCAGGTGGTCGCTTCTGAAAAAGAGCTACCTAGCTCAGTGGGCCTTACCTGGTCAAATAAAAAGAAATGTGAAAAGTTCAATAGTTTATAGAATTGAGTGAAAGAGTTCGCTTTAACCAATTGCAATGCAGGCCTTGATGAATAGTGCAAGTACGCCCCGCAAGCAAGGCCGTAGCCATGGGGTCAACATTGGGGGGGGGGGCAAATCTTCCAGGAAAAAAAATCTAAATTTGAAAATAATTTTCTGACATTTCCTGCCTAAAATATTGAAAAATTCACTAACACATAGGATGGATTTCGATTTAAAGCTTTCGTGACTGCAGGGAATCATCTTCTTGGTTCTTTCGGTATTGTCACGTAGAAGGAAAATAATAAAATAATTAAAATAAAACATAATAAAATACAATTCTCACGACGTTTCGGCCACAACGCAAGCAGCCGTCTTCAGGTGGAGAACAGGTCTGTCTACGTGACTTTACCGAAAGAACCAAGAAGACATAGGATGGACTTTTTACGTATTTTTAAATCCTTTATATTAAGTTCGCTTGCTTGCTTAGGACCGTGCAAATCTTTCGGTCGTTTTTTAACCCACTTCCCGTGATCCAATCGAGCTGACATTTTTCACACAGACTCGTTGTGCGTGACAATTAATGTTCGTGAATTTTTTCCCCCAAAATTTTACACTTTTTAGGACAAAAATATTATATTTAATTACCAATTTCTTAATGGTGCAATGCAATCATCTGACCCATAGGTGGCAGCCATCTCAAGCCAGAGGACGAGAGGACTCTAGCCGCCACGCATATAAAGGATTTATAGTGAAAAACTTTGTTTTTACTGGTTATACTTATTTACAATAATGTCTAATAGTGTATTGTATTACATTTCTCTGTTTTTTATTTTTTACCTTTTCTTGTTTCATTGTATGTGATGGCAGAGATTAGGGATTAATAAAGTACAACCATAACCACAATCATTGAAAACAGAAATCTATTTTATAGCAATATATTGGGGGGGGGGGACATTTTGGTCATATTTGAATATTGGGGGGGATGTGTGTCCCCCAAATATTATGATTACGGCCTTGCCAACAAGGATTGGTCTAATATAAGAATTGGTTTTACCCTTTCTGGCAATAAAACAGGAGGTGTTAGGATGTTAAGTCACCAAACGGAAACCTTTTGCAAGCAATCATGTCTGCATTAACCACATGTACGTGTGGTGTACATGCAAACAAAACACACAAAAACCATGCTCTGGTAGTATATGATGCATTGCCTTTGAAACTGGTTGGTCCACACCAGAGACAGCTTTCTTTATGGCAGGAGTGGGGAACCTTTTTTCTGCCATGGGCCATTTAGATATTTATATGACATCACTAGCGGTAAGTACCCGGCGTTGCTCGGGCGAAAAAGGCAGACACACACATGGACTTACACACAGACATTGACCCACACACATGGAAACACATCGACTTAGACGCACACACACATACATAGTTAAACCCAGGATGGATCGTTAGCAGGCCAGCCTAAATGTTTCTAACTGGCGAAGATGTCCCATTAGGGGGATGCACGTTTCGCAAGCGTAGAGAAGGGAGGGAATTACCGTGGCCGAGAAGACCTGGAGCTTCATGCGGAGCGAGAGACCAGGTAGATTCCACACAGCTTAACGCAGCCGATGAAAAGATAATGGCGCTCGACTGATTTGAAGTGAGACCTCTGCTGTGAAACGGGAGCCGGTCATGAGCACACTGGCCAGGTATGGGAATCTCGGCAATCTTTCCACAACTGCCGCATCACCAATTGTGAGTTGTGGGGGTGGAGTGCAGGAGTGGTGAACCTTATTTCTGCCAAGGGCCATTTTGATATTTATAACATCATTCGCGGGCCATACAAAATTATCAACTTAAAAATTTGCCTGTTATATTTGGTCGAACATTTAATGAACTCGCCCCTAATGCGATGGGCTGGAACTGCTTCTCTCTGGCGAGGCATGTGATGTTAGCTGGTATTGATGATGTTGCTGCTGCTACTCGCAACTGCTTTTCCAGGTTTGCTCCTAGATTTATTGAATTTCGAGTCCCGCCTGCGGTTGCCTTGGCAGGGCCAGAGACCAAATGATTTTGCGGGCCTTCTACGGCCCGCGGGCCGGACGTTCCCCCCCCCCCTGATCTAGAGGCTCGTCTCAAACAGTGTCAGACCAGAGGACGCCAAAAGGCGAACAGCACAAAGACAAATGCCACGATCAGAACATTGAGAGGTCGGGGTGAGCAGCTACATCAGATTCTAGATTTGAAGCTTTCGTGACTGCAAGGATTCATAGTCTTAGTTTTTTTCGGTAAAGTCACGTAGGTAAAACATTAAAAAAGTAAAATAAAATAAAAATCACGACGTTTCGGAGGCAACACAAGCTTCCGTCTTCAGGTGGAACCGTCACAGCCACGACAGCTGTATCAAGTAAATGAGAGATTGCAGGAGCTACCACTCCGTTCTCCAACCATTATATATACGGAGTGGTAGCTCTTGCAATCTCTCATTTACTTGATACAGCTGTCGTGGCTGTGACGGTTCCACCTGAAGACGGAAGCTTGTGTTGACTCCGAAACGTCGTGATTTTTATTTTATTTAAATTTTTTTATGTTTTACCTACGTGACTTTACCGAAAACACCTAAGAATACGCTACATCAGAATCAGAATGGGTTTTATTCGCCATGAAAGTTCGCACGGACTAGGAATTTACGTTGGCCGGAAGGTGCATATACATTCAACATATAGGAATC